CCTCCAGAGACCCAGAGATCTCTCCAGTGAGAGATCTACTGAAAGAGACAGGAAAGAGTGATGGAGAGAGTGTCAGCCACAGGGAGACAGAGAGAGAGAGTGAGAGAGTGTGCATGTGTTAGTTGTCTGTCTCAATGGCAGATGGAAACAGTCAGACAGGCACTACCCTGATCGAGAAGCTCAACTGAGAAATACGGTGACAGAAATAGTTTGTGGCCATCCGTTCATTCTCATTTACTCAGTAAGTACTTATCACGTACCTACTATGTGCCAGGCACTGTTTTAGGGGCTTTGGATAAACCAGTGAACAAAACTGGCAAAGATCCTTGTCCTCATTGTAGCTGAGAGATACAAACAATAGAAAATAAACCCAATAAAATAAATCACAAATTAGATATACATTTATATGTGTTAATATAATATTGTAAATTCATACAAATCATATACAATAAGTTAAATAATAAGGAAGATTGGGGAGAGGGAAGTTTGCAGTGTTAAAGCAGTGACAGATGTTCCATAAACTGGTGAGTAGACAAATAAACTGTGGTGTATCCATACAATGGAATCCTATTCAGCAGTGAAAATGGAATAAACCACTGATAGCTGTGTGACCTTCTGCAAGTTACTTAACCTCTCTGTTACTTAACTCTGTGAAATGGGGCTAATAACAAATCTTCCAGGCAAGGTTCCTATGAAAGTGAATTACTGCATGTCAAATGCTTAGAACAATGCCTGGGCACATAGGCTGTACGCTGTAAGTGTTTGCTGTCAACATCTTTCCATCTCCATACCTTTCAGACTCACTGACCCTGAGAACTCTTTGTGCCTGTGTTTCCATCTTCCCCATCCTAGCTTTCTGACTCTGTCTCCCCCAGCCCTCGTCTTGGTGTCTCTGTATCAGTGTCTCTGTGTCTCTATTCCTGTCTACAGACTCATGCCTGTAATCCCAGTACCTTGGGAGGCCAACGCGGGTGGATCACCTGAGGTTGGGAGTTCAAGACCAGCCTGACCAACATGGAGAAACCCTGTCTCTACTAAAAATACAAAATTAGCAGGGCGTGGTGGCACGTGCCTGTAATCCCAGCTACTTGGGAGGCTGACTCAGGAGAATCGTTTAAACTCGGGAGGCAGAGGTTGACGTGAGCCAAGATCGTGCCATTGCACTCCAGCCTGGGCAACAAGAGCAAAACTCTGTCTCAAAAAAAGAAAAAAAATAGACATGGGTGTACGTGTGCATGCACATGCGTGCACGCGCACACACACACACACGTGAGCTTTTGGACCCAATGTTCCAGATGCACACACTTGCACACAAGGTCTGAACATATAAAGTGGGGGCCTTAGTAAAGGTACACAGGAGAGAGACACTGATATGCAGTGTCAGGTTTGACTTTGAGGGGACATATCCTGAGTAGTCCCCCAAAACCAATTCACAGACATGGGTCTATAGTATGGTGGTTGTATCCAAAAGTATGACCGCCTGGGATCAAACATATTGGTTCTGAATCTTTGAGAAAATTATTTGACCTCAGTGTCTTTCCATTTCCTCATTTGTTCATGGGGGTTTTCTTAAGACTTAAATAGAAAAATGTGTTTCTGTGTAGATGCACATGTATGGGTGTGCATGAAAACGGCTGGCACACAGTAACTGTAATGCATAGTAATAAATATCAGTTATTTTCATCAAGGACACATGACTTAGTTATAGTACATACATGTGGCTGTTCAGACTGTGAAAACAAACACGGCCAAAATCTGACATATGTGCAGACCCAGATAAAGTTAGTCAAGGCTAATACTGTGATTCATCCATAAAGCCACTTAGTGGTGATTCCAAGTTGTAGACAGCAACCCCAAGGGCCAGATATTCAAATACAGGCTCATAGATTAGATTCCAGGCAACTCCCAGACACAGAGTTGGGCATTTATGGGGAAAGACATATTCTGGAGACACAGGCAGTTGGGACAAGAAAGATTTATCCGTCTCTAGATCGTCCCCCAAGTCAGACACTTGGTGTTGAAGGCTACTCGTCAGTTTTCCCATGTGGGGACATGGCTCACATGTGTGGGCAGGTAGTGGACAGTAGGGCCTTGCACACTCACCACATACACATGTGCATGCACATACACACACACACACGCGCACACACACACACACAGAACTGCACTACTCACAAGTACCACACATGGACTGTTCACAGTCAGAAGACCATGAGCCTCTACACTGGGAAATGTGGATATGTCCCCTCAACATCAAATCCACACATAAACAGACAGCAACAATAGGGCAGCAACAATAGGGGATATCCAGATCGGATCCCCATATTTTTCCTGCCATCATGGGGAACTGGGCCTGGAACACTGGTGAGGCTAGGGTAACAGATGTGGCAGACAAGGGGTGTGAGGAAGAAAGTATAAGCTTGTTTTGCAGGGAAGGTTAGAGCATTTACATTATGATTCTGAGTGAAAATTCTCCATGGGCCTTTCATGTTTCTACATGTCTTCAAAGCAAAAAAAAAAAAAATTGCTTTGGACTGTCAAGGATGTTTGGCTAGCAAGCAATCTTGCAAACGGTATTTTCAACAAAAGAGCTTTGATTACCGACCAGTGTAATAAAGATAATGTGTCCCTTCAAGCAGATTTGTTTAGTGTTCAGTACAATAAATATAATATGTTCCTCCAGAGCAGGTCTGTTTGTGGTCGGGATAACGAAGAACGTGTCTTCCTCTTGGACAAACATTAATAGTCCCCCTATAAGATTCAGGATTCCTAAGCTCGGGTTTCTCAGCTGTGGGTCAAAGCACCGTGTGCACAGAATCCTCCTAAACTTCTCTGATCATTCCTGTGGGACTTAGTGTCAAGGTGAACTGATGTGAACACAAAGCTCACGCTGCCTTCTGTGCTGTGAGTAATAAAGACCTTTGCCTTTGATCCAGAATCCAGTGTGTTCTGCCAGTATCCATAAAACTGTGGCAGGCTAATTTATTTGTTTGCAAATTGGCAAAATATCAGCCCCTTCAGAGTTTTTGACAAACAGCTGGGCACTAAGGCTGCACCTATCCAGCTAGAGATGGAAGGGTGGGAGGTAGGAGGGGCCCCAGCTGGGCACAGTCACATGACAGAAGAGGGACCAAGGCTAGGTTGAACTTTTCTGAGGGCAGTGTAAGCCAAGCTGAAGTTGAACCTTCTTGGCCCTTGGAGTTAGGAGGGGCCCCAGTTGGGTGCAGCCAAATGACAGAAGAGGGAACAAGGCTGAGTTGAACTTTTCTGGGCAGTGTAAGTCAAGCTGAAACTGAACCTTCTTGGCCCTACTTGCATCCTTCCAGACACAAATTCATCCCACCTGTGGCATAATAAATTTCCTTTCGCCATTTGTCTCTCCTCCTCCCTAACATGCTCTTCCTCTTGGATTCTCCCTCTTGGGAGAGCTCACTGCTTCCTCAGGCACCAGGATAGATGCCAAGTGCCCCACATCCTGCCAGACACTGGCCACATTCTACCTTCATTTTTAAATGGATAGAATCTTTTCTATCCTGGATCTTCATTTTTAAAGCCTCAGGCCACGTCCTCTAACTAGACCCTTCCCCCAGCCTCTTGACCATAATCAGAGTCTTCCCATATGTCTTCATTCCAACTTTTGGGATCCCTGCCCTTTCCAATTATGCCTTCACTTTAGTGGCAGACAGCATGTATGCTGAGGATTTAGTTAGCACTGTAATTCAGCCACTCACACAATAAGATTCTAGGTTTGATTTTCAGAAATCTCAGCTCTGTGGCTACAGGAGACAAAGGTTTCTTTCAACATAGTCGTAGACATAGCAACTTTGGATTATTTCTTCAGTCTGAGATCTGGAAATTTAAAGTCCTGTGCTCATTCTTTTCTTTTTCCACTTTTGCCAACACAACTAGAAGCAACCATCCAATTTCATTATGCTTGTTACTTTAAAAAATATTCTAAAGTATCATATACGTGACCACCCTGGACATTGCCCCTTTATTTGATTAGGACTATCCAGTGGTGATACTTTGCATACCTCTATTGCCACAGCACACCATGGACTTTTATTTCTCTTTGTATTACTGAAAATAGAGTTACTGGTGCCTTTAAATTTATTCACATTACAGAACCAATTCCAAAAACTAGAAATGCCAGAACTAATTCAGAAAGCTCATCTTTGAGACTTCCTTCCTCTGGAAGAACTAGTAAAGTTTGTCTCAGACAGGATTTTTAGAGAAACAGAAAAAATAAGATGTACACACACAAATACACACATGCAAAGAGACAGACAAAAATGGAGACAGAAAGACAAGGATAAGAAGATGGAATCTGAGCTAATGGCAGAGACGTGGAACCAGTGGAGAAGAGACACACTGACTTCAGAGAGTGCTGACCAGGAAGGGGAGGAGCCTCCAGGACTGGATCAGGCGTCTGTCCCCAGGTCCCCATTCCTGACACTTCTCCTGCCACCCTGATATGGGTATAGCATCAGATTAGCTGGTTTGGCTGAAAAAACTGCTAACTTGGGAACATGTCCCCGTCCATAGGAGCAGGACATCCCAGACTCAAGAATCTCATAAACCCACAAGCACTCTATCCTTTACCTCCCCACCACAGCCTCCTACCCTCCAGTTCAAGACCCCAAATCACCCCACATACTTTGCCCCCAACCCAACACCTGCTCCAGACAATGTCTCATGTCTTCTACCCTAATTCTTGGGGTTTGCCCTGCTTTCAGAGCAAAGACTCCCCACAAGGAACAGCCACCAACCCATGACCCCATGGAATGGTCCAGAATCTCAGGCCCTTCTGTGTCCCTGGATCCCCAGCCCTGGTCCTCTGCCCCCAGGTCCCTTCAAACCCACAGCCCAGCTCCCTCTCTTAGCCCAGTCCCTGGCCCCTCCTGCCAAGCCTGCCTTCCCTGACCCAGCACTCCTTCTGCAGATACTGTGATTGCCATCCAGTCCCAGACTGTGGGAGGGTGGGAGTGTGAGAAGCATTCCCAACGCTGGCAGGGTCGCACCATTTCAGCAACTTCCGGTGCAGGGATGTCCTGGGGCACCCTCAGTGGGTGCTCACTGCTGCTCACTGCATCACCAGGTGAGTGGGAACCTGGGGTCTGGGCAGGGGTGTCTGTGCCCCACAGGGATAACAGTTGGGCATTTCCCCTTAGATGAGGCTGGGGACAGAGGGAGACAGGGAAGGTTCTGTTTCAGGTTGCATGAACAGGCACTGGGGACCACCTTCCCCTGGGGGCTGCCTCGGTCTCTCACCATATCTCTGTCCATCTGGTCTCTCTGTGTCTCTTGGTATATGGCTCTGCTGCATCTCTGTGTGGCTGTGTTTTGGTCCTTGATCTCCCTCTGTCTTCTCTGTCTCCTTGCCTCTGTGTCTCCCCATCTCTGTTTTTCTCTGCATCTCTCTTGGCCATCTCTGTCACTGTGTGTCTCCGTCCCCCTCTCTCTGCCCATCTCTCTCTCTTTTTCTTGAGCCTCTGTCTCACCTCTCCCCACACCTGCCCATTGCCATCGTGAACCCCTGCAGGAGGGAACAGAGGATCCCTGAGAATAGAGACTTTTTCCTATGTGGCCACCCTTCCCAGTGCCCTGCAGTACCTACATACGTGAAAACCATTCACATATGCTTTTCCCACAATTTCTCCAGAAATCTCTGGTTTTTGGAGGTTTGTTTTGTTTGCTTTTTTGTTTTGTTTTGTTTTTGAGACGGAGTCTTGCTCTGTCACCCAGGCTGGAGTGCAGTGGTGCGATCTCGGCTCACTGCAACCTCTGCCTCCTCAGCCTCCCGAGTACCTGGGATTACAGGCATGTGCCACCACGCCCAGCTAATGTTTTTGTTTGTTTGTTTGTTTTTGTTTTTTGTTCTTTAGTAGAGACGGGGTTTCACCATCTCAGCCAAGATGGTCTCGATCTCCCGACCTCGTGATCCGCCTGCCTCAGCCTCCCAAAACGCTGGGAATACAGGAGTGAGCCACTCTGCCTGGCCTCTGTTATTTTTAAAGTACTCTCCTCTCTTTAGGTTTTACAGCTGCAGCCTGTTTTTCCAGAACTTCCCGCTTCATCTCCTACCCCACATGCGATAGGTTCCTCCTGAGAGAGGGGGGAGAGAGAGAGAGAGAAGAGAAGTGAAGGACCAGAGGGCACAATTCCCTTTGTGATTGGAGATGGAGACAGGTTCACTGGATACAGATTTAGACAGAGGGTTGCATTGATATGTCAGAGACCTCAAAATAGACTTGTCCATTCAATATGTATGGTAGAATTATTGGCCTCAGAATCTGGAGCTCTAAGCCAAACTCAGCATGCTAGGGAAGGACACATATGTGACCACAAAAGGTCATGGCCATACATACAGGCACAAGATGGTTTCCAGGCTTAGATACATATACAGTGTGCCTTAAGCAGAAATTCATGTGCATGTACATGTGGCTTATATAATAACAGCCCAAGTGATCACATGTGCATATAAATATGGACAGGCATGGGTGTAAGCACACACACACACACATACACATTCATAGACACAGATTTGGACATAAGAGCTCAAACCTAAATTCATAACCTCCAGTGTGGCTCTGGGTGTGCAAGGTCACATGGGTACACACTTGCACACAGGGTCTGGACGTACAAGGTTGGGTGCTTAATAAGATTACAAAGGGAAGAGACGGGGATACGCACTCAGGGTCCCAGACACTGATTCACAGATATGAGTATGGTGGTTACACCCAGAGTCTGACCACCTGCATTCAAAAATATCAGCTTTGAGACTTTGAGAAAATTCTTTGATCGCACTGTGCCTCCATTTCAGATGAAATTGGAGGTTGCTGTAAAGGTTAGATGGGTGGAAGATACACAGCATATAGTAAATGCTTAATAAATATTAGCATAAATAAATTTAATGTAAGATATAGGGATTTAGGCCAGGCACGGTGGCTCAAGCCTGTAATCCCAGCACTTTGAGAGGCCGAGACGGGCGGATCACGAGGTCAGGAGATCGAGACCATCCTGGCTAACGCGGTGAAACCCCGTCTCTACTAAAAAAATACAAAAAACTAGCCGGGCGAGGTGGCGGGCGCCTGTAGTCCCAGCTACTCGGGAGGCTGAGGCAGAAGAATGTCGTGAACCCGGGAGGTGGAGCTTGCAGTGAGCCGAGATCCGGCCACAGCACTCCAGCCTGGGTGACAGAGCGAGACTCTGTCTCAACAACAACAACAAAAAGATATAGAGATTTAGGAACACGTATGTGTGGATATTCAGATTTGAGAGACAAATATGGCCAAAGTCATTCAGACATAATCACAGGACCGGATATGAGAGTCAAGGTCAACCCTGCGATTCATGCACAAGCCAGTGTGTGGTGGTTCAAAGTTACAGGCACAGACCCAGAGACCAGGCAATGGACCCAGTAGAGCAGATTGAGACATTTGAGACATTTAAAGAGACATTGTCTCTTTAAAAAATAAAAGGCAAAGGCTGGGCAGGTTTGCTAGCACCCCCTCATAAGACTGAGGATTCTGAAAGTCAGGATCCTCTGCAGTGGCACAAACCACTTTGAGGACAAAATCCACCAATCCACCTGGACTGCTCTGGTCACCCTATAGGACTCGGGCAAGGTGAACCCATATGTACATGAACCTCACGCTGTCGGCTGTGCCAAGTAAATCAAGTCCTTTGTCTCTGACCAGGTTCTGGTGTGTTCTGCCAATACTTTTTGTTTTTAAGTTAGTAAAATGTCAGCCCCTCAGAGTTCTTGACAAACATGTGGGCCCTGAGGTTGCACCTGGGCAGCTGGAGAGAGAGATAGGAGGGGATTCAGCTGGGTGTATCCACATGACAAAGGAAGGACCGGGGCTGGGTGTAACCACTGGTTCCTCCTTTGCGGGGAGTGTAAACTAGGGTGAAGCTGAACCTTCCTGGGCCCACCTGAATCTCTCCAGATACAAATTCATCCCAACTGCTGTGCAAAAAACTTCCTTTCACCACCCTTGTCTTTTCCCCTCCCCAACACGTTCTTCCTCTTGGTTTTCATATCTCACATCTCCAGATGATCTGTTGTTCCCTCAGACACTAGGACAGACCCCTGGGTGCACCACAGCCCATCAGACGCTAGCCACATCCCACCTAGCCCCCTACATCTTCTCCAGCCCCAAAGACTCACCTGTAACCACACCCTCTATCTGGCCCCACTCCCAGCCTCCCACTCTGAATCCCAGCTTCCAGTCCAACCTCCCATGGACCCAGAGAGCAACTCAAGCCTAAAGCAAACCTAAGAAAATAAATAATAAAAATTATGGCAGAAATGGGTGAAATTTAAAACAAGTAACCTATAGAGAAAATCAACTAAAACAACTGTTTATTGTAAAAGATCGATAACATTGGTAATTCTCTAGCCAGGATGACAAAGACCAAAAAAACAGAAGATACATGTTAGAAAGATCAGAAGTGATAGCAGATGCATCACCCCTGAGACACTCAGAGGACAGTCATTGATAACAAAGCCTTGCCGGTTGAAAACGAACTGCTGCTGGTTGCCTTTATTCACAGACATTGAGGTGGAAACAAAAAATTTACCAGGTCAGTGACTGCATATGAGGTACCAGGAGATGTGTTATTTGCTCAAGCTATGAAGCCACGTGAAGAGCTGTAATGAAATGCACTCCTGGTTATACTTAGGATAACCCTCTATCATCCCTGAAGATCTCTCTGTTTTCAGCATGGGCCAAATAGGTGAACTGGATGTGAATGTAGTGGGAACCACCAACCCTGCGTCCTTCAGTCATTGACAGTGTCATCAACCTCCGTAATCCCTGTAGAAATGCAGTCTTGCTTTTGGTTTATGATTTCCCTAGGTGGGGGTAAGTCCTGGTGACTTCCACCTGGACTTGTCTGGTGTAACATCCCTCATCCACAGGTCTGAAAGCCCTTGTGGAAATTCTGTCACTTCCTCAGCATGCCTGTCCCAGTTATGCATTATTCTGTAATTGATGAAATACCCAAAGGGTAGGGTCAGGGACCCACGAGACGCACTGTGAGATGGGCCTCGGCCACAACTGCTGACCACCAGGCGCTACACTGATTGCTGCACCACAGTCGTGTTTTGGGTCTCTTGGAATTAGTGTCAGTTAAGAACCAGGGTCCGATAATCTCCAAAACATCTGAAAACTGACTCAAGTTTATGACTTGAACGATGGTCCGGGATTCTTTGCTTTTATGATTCAAATTATACTTCTCTTCACTGGACCCAATAAGTCTTCTGATTACACAGAAATAATTTAGTCTTTTCCTACCTATTTCTCTTCCAGGAACACCGTGATCAATTAGCCAGCACCACAGGTCTCTGAAGTCAGACTATCATGATTACTGTGTTGACTGTGCTGTCCATTGCAATAACCATGCCCACATTTTGGTGAAATTAGCATCACTTGGCCCGAACCATCTTGGTATCCAAGTATCCTCACTGAATTGAGATTTCCTGCTTCAGTGTCAGCCATTTCCACATAATTTCTGACCTACACAGATGAGGGATCATACAGCTCTTCAAGGACGCTGATACTCCCCTCACAAATTCATTTCTCCTGTTGTAGTGAAAAGTGCGCCCTCTGGAGCCTCCCAGGGTTGGTGTGCAGGTCATAATGATGAATGTATGATCAAGTTCCCATTACCCAAAGCCTTTAAATCCCTCGTGCCCTGTACACCAGGGCAGGTCTAGCACTTCTTCATTTAGTGTATGCCGTCCATTCATGCAACCACCTCAGGACTCCTGGGTTCTCTGCCTGGTTGAGCTCCTGCATGCTGCCTCCTTGGGGAGGAGAGGGAGAGGACCCATGGGTCAATGGAATCTGTGCAGTTGTGACACATTAGGTGCTTAATAAACAGAAGCTGTGATGTTAACCACGAGGGGGCGCTGTCTTCCTGTTTGCCTGTGTCTCTCCGTGTGTCTCCGGCTACCTTGTTTTTCCTCTTCCCAATTTTGTCACTGTCTATCTCAGATTCTATTTCCTCTGCTGTTTCTCCATCTCTGGTTTTCTCTTTGTGTTCTTGTGGCAGTTTCTTTAAAGCCCCACCTCTGTCTTGGATGAAACATAATCCTTGTTCACTACACACACTATTCATTGGTACGAATATGCCATTTATTTTTCCATTATCCTATAGATAAACATTTGGGTGGTTTCTGGTTTGAGGATGCTATGAACTTTCTTGTATGAGGATTTTTATGAAAATATGAAGTGTTTCTAAGGGGTATATTTCTAAGATTGATACTGATAGGTCATGCATATATTCAGCTGCAACATATACTGCTAAATCATTTTCTAAAATGAGGATACCAATTTATACTCCCTTAAGCAATGTATGAGAATGTTGCATTGTCTAAAAAAGGCTATTGATACACACTGCCAAACTGTTGGAATGAATTTATATTCTAGTTCTACATTCTTTTCCTTCAATATTTCTAATGTCCTTTCTCTCCAGGGCTTTGTCAATGACAATTCTAGTTTTCTTTTTTGTCTCGTAGCCTTTCCTTCTTTTGACTCAGTCACACTCTATGGATTCTATTGATCTGAGATTGTTCGGATATTTTAAATTCCATAAAACCTACCTTCAGGCTGGGCGTGGTGGCTCATGCCCATAATCAATCCCAGCACTTTGGGATGCCAAGGCAGGCGGATCACCTGAGGTCGGGAGTTCGAGACCAGTCTGACCAACATGGAGAAACCCCGTCTCTACTAAAACTGCAAAAATTAGCCAGGTGTGGTGGTGCGCACCTATAATCCCAGCTACTTGGGAGGCTGAGGCAGGAGAATCGCTTGAACTGGGAGGCAAGGGTTGCAGTCAGCCGAGATCGTGCCATTGCTCTCCAGCCTGGGCGACAAGAGTGAAACTCTGTCTCAAAAAATAATAATAATAAATAATAAATAAATAAATAAATAAATAACCTGCCTTCAGTGTTTAGTCATGTGTTTCCTCCTCTCCTATTTTTTTCTCTTCCTGAGTCTTTAGTGTCAGTATCTACACTTCTAGCACTCACATCGTTCAGTATTTCTTTGACATTTTTCTTTCTCTGTTCTTCAATGTGGTCTAAAATGTCACTATTGCGTTCTTCACCTCTATCAAATTCTATTAATCTATTTTTTTTTTTTTTACTTTTTTCAACTAGCATATTTTTCCTACCTAATATTTCCTACCTACTTTTTCTCATATTTTATGTATGTTCGCCTTGCTCAATATTCCTAGTATCTTCTTTTATCTTTCAGCATGCTTATTAAGTTAACTTCTAATTCAATATAAAATCTATTGGAATTCTTTCAAACAATTCATCATTGCAGAGATCACTCCATAGGATACTCAATCACAAAACCAAACCAGTCCCACAGGTGCACTCATTATCCCCTGTCCCCATTATTTCCCTGACCCCCTGTACATTACTAAATATCCATTTACAATTACACAGTATAAGGTCAGAAAACAAGATTCAATTTTATTTGCTGCCTCAGTATATCTGTAACCAGGAGTGCCACAAAATCTCCTACTCTTGCCAGACATGTCCCACACCCACTGGGAAAGGCTCCTACCTGGCTACTTCCTCCATCAGCCGGGTCAGTTGCATCCACAAGGTTGTTAGTCTAATGAGTCTCACTACCTTCCAGTCTCAAAACTTAGTAAAACAAAACCGTGACATTCCCCCATGGAAATCAGAGTTCACCCCACCCTCTTGTTACTCTAAAGGCTGCCTCTCACAGTCCTTGCTTCTTCATGCCAATCCTGAGCGCATCCCCCATGTCATCCTGCATGGTGTGCAGTGTCCTCCTGCTCTAGGCTGTGAATCTCTGTGGCTAAGAAACTGTTGATCTCATATCTCCAGTGCTATGTGTGGGGTGTTCAACCATCTTCATAACCCCAGGGTGGGAATTCCTCCCTCACCGATGGTGTGAAAAGAAGGCAAATAAAACAATGATTGAATGCTCTTTGAGTTCAGTGTCATTCCTCTATTTTCCCCTATTTCTGGATTCTTCTTTGTAGGGATAGCTCCACAGATCACCTGATCACAACACCAAACCAAATCCCCAGGGGGGTTTCCTTATCCTCTCCCTTTCCCTCACCCCCTCCACAGTAAAAGGTTGACGCAGCAGCCCTGCACTGCTCAAAACCTGTACATTCCAAGTAAAGGGCTCATCCTTGAATAACTCCTGGGAGATGATATTTGATTCCTTGGACTGTTCTGCCCAAGTGCCTTGGTATACATGGGGCCTTGGGCCATGCCAGACGCTTCATGCTAAAAATGGGATTTGTGATGCATGCCTGTTTTTGTACATCTGGGACTCTGGGCCGTGCTGTATCTGTTTGAACTCTAGGGAACCTCAGGTCTGAGGACTTAAGGTCAATTATTCAAGTACTCCATACTCATCCTACAGACCCCCAGTAAAAACCCTGGACACTAAGGATCAGGTGAGCTTCCTTAGTTGGGATTACTTCATACATATTATCATGTATCCTTGCAGGGAGAATTATGTGCTGTCCATAAGACTCTACTTGGAGAGAATAACTGTCAGATATGCCCTCCATCCAAAGGGAAAGGCCCCCACCTGGCTAGTTCCTTTATCAGCTGGATCAGCTACACTCCACAAGGTCCTCAGCCTAATAGCTTTGACTTCCTGACAGTCTGAAAACTTAGTAAAGCCAAGTTGCTCATCTTCGTAACTGCAAGTTTTCCTCTGTTTTCTCCACACTGTAATCTATACGTCTGTTTTGTTTGCTGATTTCAATAGGTATCCTGTCGATGTAACAAACCATAATAAACCACGGCATGATGGCTCTCTATTTCTGGAAGTCCTGCTAGGAAATCATGAAATCTGACGGTGGCTGGAGAACCTGAACACACCTCCTGTAATTAATCAGCTTCCAGTTTCTCCCCTTAGTCCCTCCCTCAACAACACAGGAGGACCCTCCCCTTCTTTCTGCTCACGGTCTTCTCTAGGCTTCCCAGTGCTCCCAGGACAGAGTGGGTTACGTTTTCAGTGTCATCCTTGCTGTGCGCGTGCCTCGTACGTTGTACCTCCAGCTTATGTTCAGTGATCTGTAGAGAGTGTCCACCTTGTGTCACTGTCCGCTCTTCCAGGGTGGGCCCCACTCCTCCCGTCTCTGCACCCCACAAACAACATGGTCACCCGCGTCCTTGTGTGTGTCCTCACTGAAACTGAGTGAGAAGTCTCCAGACACAGCCAGTGTTCCGAAGGAGAGGATGAAATTACACGAATTTCAGAAACACTGGCCTACACCTGTGTCTGCCCATTCCTTTTCCTAGCAGCCCTGGAATCCACACCAGAGAGCACAGGTCAGTAGGACTCAGGAGGCTCAAGCTTTGGCCAGGTGAGTTCCAAGCTTCAGGTGTCCAGCATTCAGAAAGGCCAAGTGATGCCAGAACGTGAGGTGGACTTAAATCTACTAGAGGTAGGGGTGGGACGGGGGCACTCAGGGGGTTGGCTGCGATGGTGTCCTTGATCTACTTCCGGTAATGCACCACCTTGGTGTACACAGCAGGCTTTTCAGGCAGAGCACAAGGCTCAGGGCCCCATGACGTGATACCCTGAAGCACACCATTACAGATAAGTGGACCCCCAGAATCACCCTAAGGGTAAACGGGGAGAGACACAGTGAGAAAGATTGGCCCCAATATCTGCCTAGGCAACTCCATCTCTCAGAACCGTGCAGGTAGATGACTGAGAGCAATTCCCAGCTCTCAGGGACAGAGAGAAATGTCTCCAGAATCCACTCCCACAAGGGTATGGGCAGGGAGTCCAACAGAGGGAACAAGGCTCCAGTCCTGGCCTATGGGGAAGGGACTTCAGGATCCAGCTCCTGCACAGGCGGCAGGGTCCAGGAGGACAGTCCCTGCAGACAAGTCAGTGGGAGGAGGAGCAGGACCATCTGCAGGTACATCACAGAGGCCACCTCTCCAGGACTACTCTCTGACTAGATGTCCCCTCTCCAGGGCATCTGGGAGCCACGGAGGGCCACAGGCAGGGCTGGCCATGGTCAGTTCAGTGATCACAATGACCCACTGGGGCCAGGTGGAGAATGGAGTGGAGGGGAGAGACTGAGGGCCAGGAGACTGAGGGAGGCTGGGTGAGGGCCCCGGTGGGGACAAGGCCTGGAGCCACCCCAGGTCATCCTCATCATCACTTCCCCAGCACCCCGGCTGCCCTCCCTCCCTGCAGGCTGATCCCACAGGGAGGCCAGCAGCAGCCTCTGGACACCTAAGCCGGGCCCTTTCCCGCTTCTGTCCAGCACCATCCATAGCTACTGACTCCTCTGAGGAAAAGCAGTGTCCTCCTGTGGCCCAGGGGAGGCCCTCCGGAAGGGGCCCTCTCGTCCCCGTGTGAGGCCATCTCGCACCCTGCCCCTTATCTCTCACTCCAGCCATGCAGACCCCTCGCTGCTCCTCACACCCTCCAGGCCCCTCCTCCCAGGCCTGGGCAGGTGCTGCTCCCTCTGCTCCCCCAGGTGCCGCAGGGCTCTGCCTTCCCCTGCAGCAGGTGTTTGCTCACTCCTACCTTCTGCAGGATGTCCCCTCCCAGTCACACTCCCCACCCCTCCTCCCTGCCCCAGAGCCCAGTCACTTCCTGACACCCTCCAGCATTTCCGCGTCGTGGTCCCCGTCCCTACCCGTGCGCCTCACCAGCATGGGGGCTGCTCTCTGTTCAGCTGTCTGTTCACTGCTGCTTCCCAGGGCCTATGGCAATGCTGGTCACGCAGCAGGTGCCCAGTAAGCATGTGCTCAACACAGGAATGGGTGGATTATGCTGTGAGAATCACCTGTTGCTTTGAGGGAGTCAGGGAAGGGGGGAGGAGGGTGGCAGATGAGGCATGGGGAGGGGGCGTGGCTACAGCTGGGGAGCAGGGGAGGCAGATGTCTGGTTGGCTTTCAGATCCCAGCCCAGAATTAGGGTCTCCACTCACCTTTCCCCTCCAGATGTTGGGAGTAAGGATGACTCACCCCACAAGTGTCTTTACCACCTGTCCAGAGCCCAGCACACAACATGAACGCTGTCACCTTCTCGGAGTAAGCTCCGGCACACATGTCACTGGACAGGAGATGGAGGTTCAAACACTGAAGACTCTTTGGGCGCAGGAGTACGGGTCAGAGCAAAAACTGGGCTGTGGCCGGACCCCACCTGGTTCTTTGGCCCCACTTCCCCAGACCCAGGCATCTGGGCTCCCAGCTACACCGTCTGGCCCAGGCGTACACTCCTTTGGTTGGATGCTGCCCCAGCCTGAGGCATAGCAGGTGGTCCCCAGTGCTGGCTCCTGGGTGGGCAGGCCCAGGACCTTCACAGCGTCTGTGATCTTGGCAGGCTCCGACAGGCGGAGCAGCATGAGGTCGTGGCTGGAGTCTTCATCTGGTCTAAGGCTTCGACGCTTCAGAAGGCTCGTATTGTAGAGCGGGTGTGGGAAGCTGTGGCTGACAGGGGCCCTCTGGCCGGTGTCTTCAGGCTCAAACAGGTTGTGCCGATCCAGCCAGACCTGGCTATTCCTGGGGAGGAAGGGGGTGGATGCATGAGGAGAGAGAAAATGGGGAAAGGTAGATGGGGCAGGGGAGGATAAGGGAGACTCCAAAGGGGAGAAAAAGAAACAGTGAGAAAAGCAGGGGTGGGGGAGACAAGTCGTGGTGAAATACAGACAGTGAATTAGAGAACAGGAGTGTGATTGTGTGAGAGGCAGACACAGAAACTGAGAGAAACGAAGTGGAAAAGAGAGAGCACAAAAAGGCAGAGGAATGACAAAAGCAGAGGGGAGAACAGTGAGAATTAGGATGAGCAAAGAAGAGACAGAGACAGTGAGAAACAGACACGGGCAAGAGGAAGGGAGAAGGAACAGAACCAGGAAGGGAGTGAGAAATGGACAAATGAGAAAAGGACACAGGAAGTCAGAGAGAGAAGGAGAAACAGCAGAGAGGAAGCCAGGGGTGATACAGTGTGGGAGAGAAAAAGGAGGGAGGCCACAGAGGCACCTGAGGGGTGTGGGCTAGCAGGGGGAGGAGGAGAGGCGTGAGGGAGGCTCACCTGAAGCTGGGGCTCAGGGCCGCATCCTCCCTTCTTTCTCCAGCTCCTTTCCCCTTCTTTCGCTTTTATTTTTGTTTGTTTTTGTTGTTGTTGTTTGTTTTTTTCTGAGATGGAATCTTGCTCTGTCACCAGCTGGAGTGCAGTGGCACGATCTCGGCTCACTGCAACCTCTGCCTCCCAGGTTCAAGCGATTCTCTTGCCTCAGCCTCCCTAGTAACTGGGATTGCAGGCATGCACCACCACGCCTGGCTACTTTTTGTATTTTTAGTAGAGATGGGGTTTCGCCATGTTGGCCAGGCTGGTCTCGAACTCCTGACCTCAGGTGATCCACCCATCTTGGCCTATCAAAGTGCTGGGATTACAGGTGTGGGCCACTGTGCCCAGCCACCTTCCCCCTCCTTTCTTGTTTCTCCTTCTCCTTCCTCCCTCCTCAATTGCGCACCCAGCTGCAGCTGAAACCAGCCTTTCCTGTGTCTCCCCAGGATGGAAGGATGTCCTGGAGAGAGTGCTGTGCAGTGACAGGCACCCCCTCTCTCACACACACACACACACACACACACACACACACACACTGAGCTTAAAGCCCTTCCTTTTTCGGGGTGCTCCCCACCCACTGTCACAGGCCCATCTGGGTGTATTCAGTAGTGATGAGGAAGGGCTGAGGCAGAGACCCAGGAGAAAGACAGGCAAAGAGATGGAGGGTGAGACACAAGGTGACAGAGATGGCCGCAGAGAGATCCAGAGACACACAGAGATGGGGGAGACACCAAGACAGGGAGACAGAAAAAAGAGAGGGAGATAGAGACCAAAACACATACAGACACAACCATACAGACACAACCAGAGCCAGATACCAAGAGACACAGTGAGATCAGACACAGAGAGAGACACAGGCAGCCATGGGGAGGGTGGTCCAGCCCCAGCCCTGCCCCCCAGTGCAACCTGGGCCAGGACTTTCCCTCTCTCCTTTAGTCTGAAGTCTCACCTAAGAAGTGACCCTGGGGGAAGTATCCAGCTGTTATTCCTGTGGGACACAGACATTCCCTCCCCAGTTCCTAGGATCCTACTTACTTCTTTAGACAATGGGCAGCTGTGAGCACCCACTGGGGGTGCACCAGGACACCCCCACAGTGTGCCCATCCATGACTGTACACAGCCGCCTGCCAGGGTTGGGAATGCTTCTCGCACTCCCAGCCTCCCACAATCTGAGACTGGATGAGGGGTACTGCACCTGCAGAGGGGGTGCTGGGTCAGAGGGATCAGACCCAGAAGAATTGGATAGGGGAGGGAGCTGAGCTGTGGGTTTGAAGAGATACGGGAGCAGAGGACCAGGACTGGGAGTCCAGGACACAAGCAAGGGGTCCTGGGAGGGCTGGGAATTCTGTAGCTATTCCCTGCGTTGGCAGGTTGGTGGCTGGACCAGGTGGGGAGACTTCACGCTCTGAGAGCAGAGCTGACCCGAGATCAGAGTAGGGGACATGGGACAGCATCTGGAGCAGGCATTGGGTTGGGAGTTGGGTCATTTGGAGTGATTTGGGGTCTTACACTGGGAGAAGGGAAACTGTGGTGGAAGCTGTGGGTTCTAAGAGAATAAGGGGTTCCAGAAACCAGGGATAAGTGCCCAGTGGAGAGGTTTAGTTGCTGGGAGAGGGAGGTTTGGGACGGTTTACCATGTCCAAGGTTAAGCAAACCGTTCTGTCTGGGTTGTTTCTCGCTTTGTTTTGTTTTGTTTTTGAGGTTTTGAAAAGGGTGCAGATTTAGGGCATCAGAGAACTGGCCGTTGTGGTTGGGGATGTGGTTGGGGGTGCTCGTATTTTTCCCATGGAAAAGGCTGGCCATTGAATGAAGAGCCTGGGACAAAGAGTCAGGGAAGGAGCAGTTTTCCGAGCCCCAGTGCCAGACTGGGGGTGGGGGCAGCATTTGTTGTCTTAGGCCAGATAGCCTTGGGGGAAGAAGGAAGTGTCTGGTGGAATCCGGTGGAATCTCCGTTTCCTGGGACAAGGCTGGGAAGCCAGGTGTCAAGGGCCAGGGCACAGGGTTGAATGCTCACAGCTGAACGGGACAAGTCAGTAGACTGTGGTAGGACTGAGGGGCTCAGGAGGCGGCCCGATGATAGGGTCCAAGGAACCAATGGCATGGAGAGAGGTCCTTGAAAGGTTTTGAGCTCCATAAAGAGAAACACAGAGATGCCCGGGAACTTGCTCTTTAGTAAAGCGGCTGGGAGCAGGGATTTGGCTGGGCAATGGGGAGAAAGGTCTGAGGTAAGTGGGAGGGAGCGAGGACCTAGTGTGGGCATGAGGACTACTGCCCTGTGGAGGAGTCAGGAGCACATTGTCTGGGATGAACTGTGGGCTGAAGGGACGAGGCCGGGGCGCTGGGTGGGAAGGAAAGGGCTTCAGCATAAGAGTCAGAACCTGCCCCCTTTCCTTTATCTGTCCATCTCACCAGTGCACCCCACAGACAAGGCGATGAAGAGAACCAGGACCCACATGCTGACACAGATGTCCACAGCCAGGCGGTGAGCTTGGGGCTGGGGAGCCTCCCTGTAAAGCCCTATAAAGGGCTTTATTCTCCAGGACTCCGCCCCAGCCCTGCAGGCACCTAGATGCTGATCAAGGCCCTTCCTATGAGGCTGGAGGCTGGACAACCCTCTCCCATACCCAGAGCTGTGGAAGGGGAGGGACAGCCAGCACTTGCTGTTCCACACAATACTAGATAAGTCTGGAGGCATTCCCAGGGTGTGAGGCCAGATTGGGCAGGGCCTATGGATCATGGAGACATAACCTAGGGGGCAAAGCCAGAGAAGGCAGGCTCAGGATGAACAGCAACAGGGGTTGGGATGATCACTGACTCTTTTTAAAAAAAAAAAAAGATTCTGAGACAGAGTCTCACTCTGTTGCCCAGGCTGGAGTGCAGTGGCTTGATCACAGTTCACTGTAGCCTTGAACTCCAGGATACAGTGTCTCAGCCTCCAGGATAGCTGAGACCACAAGCATGCATCACCACATCCAGCTAATCTTTAATCTTTTGTAGAGAGAGAGTGTGGCTATGTTGCCTAGGTTGGTCTCCAACTCCTGGGCTCAAGCGATCCTCCCACTTTGGCCTCCCAAAGTGATAGGATTACAGGCGTGAGCCACCACGGCCAGCCCCAATCATTGATTTTCAATACAAAGTCTCATGTGCCTAAGTCCCAAGTACTTCCTTTGCACCCCAAGACCTAATATGCCCTGAAATATCAGAACCATGGGATTGTGAGACTTTCTGGTCCCTATACCAGTCTAGGCCCAGAAGCTGGAGCTCCAACTCACCATGTTCCTGAAATAGAAGCTTCAGCATTCAGTGCTCTCTGATTCTTGCACTTCCACACTCAGAAAATAGTTCCCCACATATATTTCTCCTCTCATCATAAAACCTTGTGATACCATTGGAGATTGGATTCTCTAATCCAGAAATATGAGTCTCCCAGACCAAGTTCCCTATTATTTCGAAATCTAATGTCCACTAAACAATGTGGGGTTCCAGTGGCTCCTCACTCCTCATTCTCCACACCTGTGCACTCTATTTGTACAACAGGGATTCCTGTTGACCTGCCCTCCTAGGTCAGAATTGTCCTCATGCAAAATCCAATGCCTGCTTCTCACTGAAATGTCTAGCTGTCGGGAGCCAGGTTTATACACTCCAAGATTAAGTTGCAAGCCAGGCACGGTGAGTGGCTCATGCCAGTAATCCCAGTGCTTTGGGAGTCCAAGGCTGAAGAATCACTTGAAGTCAGAAGTTCAAGATTAGCCAGGGCAACAAAGTGAGACCCTATCTCTAACAAAAAAATGTTTTTAATTAGCCAGGTTTGGTGGCAAGCACCTGTAGCCCCATCTACTCAGGAGGCTGAACCAGGAGGATCCCCTTAAGTCCAGGAGGTCAAGGGTGGTTCCATGAGCTATGATCACACCATTGCGCTCCAGCCCGAGTGCCAGAGCAAAAGACCCAGACTATGTCTCAAAAAAAAAAAAAAAAAAAAAAAAGAATTTGGGTGGAATTGAAAAAATCTCATTTTGGTGTCTCAGAAAAGAATCAAGAATAAGAGTCCTGGTGTTAACTCTTGTTATAAGAGGCCACTGTTAACTCTACAAGATTTCTTAGATTTTGGAAAACAGAAAATGTGATTTCATCTGTTCAGTAAAACCAGAGCAGCTTACACCGATCCAGACCCAGCTGTGGTAAGAGAATTGCTTGAACCGGGGAGGCAGAGGTTGCAGTGAGTGATATCACACCATTGCACACCAGCCTGGGAGACAGAGGGAGGCTCCATCTCAAAAATTAAAAAAATAATAATAGATAAATAAATAAATAAGGAGACCATTTTACACTCCCTCAGGCAATGTATGACAATAGGGTATTATCTAGAAAACGCTACAGGTGCACACTACCAAGCTGTTGGGATGAATTTATATTCTAGGTTCCACCGTCTTTCCTTCCAATATTTCTGCCATCCTTTCTCTCTAGGACTTTTAACAGTTAAGCTTTGCCCATGAAATTTCTAACTGTCTTCTGGCTTCTTGGCTTTTCCATCTTCCTCTTCAATGGCACGGTATGTATCCTTTGATCTGAGGTCTTTCAAATATTTTAAAATCCATCAGACATGTCTCTACTAATTTACTCACATACTTCCTCCTTTCCTATTGCTTTCTCCTCCTGAGACTTTACTGTCATTGACTGTACTTCTAGCACTCACGTGGTTTAGCAGTTCCTTAAAATTTGTCTGTCTCTGTCCTTCAATCTGGTCTAAAAAGTCCCTATTATGTTCTTCACCTCTTTTCCATTCTGCTACTCATGCCTGATTTTTTCTTTTTTTTTACTTTTTTCAACTATTATACTTTTCCTACCTAATATTTCACCTTGGTCCTATTTTATATATTGTCTCATTCAATGTACCTAATGTCTTCTCTAATCTCTTTTAGTATGCTAATTAGATTAACTTGTAGTTAAATACAACAGTAATTGGATTTGTAAAAACAATTCCTATACAACCATAAAAAAGAATGAGATCAGGTCCTTTGCAGGAACATGGATGAAGCTGGAAGCCGTTATCCTCAGCAAACTAACACAGGAACAGAAAACCAAACACCGCATGTTCTCACTTATAAGTGGGAGCTGAACAATGAGAACACATGGGCACAGGGAGGGGAACAACACACACTGAGGCCTGTTGTGGGAGTCAGGGAGAGGGAGAGTGTCAGGAAAAACAGCTAATGCATGCTGGGCTTAATACCTAGGTGATGGGTTGATAGGTGCAGCAAATCACCGTGGCACACGTTTACCTACGTAACAAAGCTGCACATCCTGCACGTGTAGCCCAGAACTTAAAAAATAAAATAAAATAAAATAAAATGAAATAAAATAAAATAAAATAAAATAAAATAAAATAAAATAAAATAAAATAAAAAACAGTCCCATGTCGCAGGAAGAGCTCCAAGGCCCCCTGGATCACAAGCCCAAACCAGACCTGAAGAAAATTTCCTCCTCCCCTCCTTTCCTTCACCCCCTGTGCAGAATCAAATATAGCTTCATACTGAAGCAGTATAAAGTCAGAAAATAAGATTCCATTTTATTTGCTGCCTCAGTACTTGTAACTGAAAGGATCTCCAAGGTATATCCCCCACCCCCACAATGGGGAAGACCCCCACCTGGCTACTTCCTTTATCAGTCAGGGCAGCCGCCCTCCACAAGGTCCTCACCCTGATGGGTTTTATTCCCTGCCAGCTTGAAAAATTTGTAACAAGACCATCACATTCCCCCACGGGAACCAGAGTTCACCCTGCCCTCTTGTTACAACAAAGCCCACCTCCCACAGTCCTTGCTTCTTCAAGCCAATCCTGAGTGAAATTCCCGTGTCATCCTGCCTGGTGTACAGTGTCCTCCTGCCCTAGGCTGTGAAGCTCTGTGGCTAAGAAACTCTTGTCAATCTCCTATCTCCAGTGCTATGTGTTGGGTGTTCAGACATCTTCATAACCTCAGGGTGGGAATTCCTCACACCAGTGACCTGAAGAGAAGACAAATAAACCAATCACTGTATCCTCTTTGAGTTCAGTGTCCTTCCTTGACCTTCCCCTATTTCTGAATTCCTCCTTCTTGGGATAGCCCCATGGTCCACTTGACAACAAGACAGAACCAGATCCCCAGGCAGTTTCCTCACCTTCTCCCTTCCCTCACTCCCCGTACAGTAAAAGGTTGACTCAGAAGCCCTGCACTGCTCAAAGCCTGAACCTTCCAAGTACAGGGCTCACCCTTGGATAACTCCTGGGAGATGACATCTAATCACTTGGAATATTCGGCCCAAGTGCTTTGGTATACCTGGGGCCTCAGGCCGTGCCAGATGATTCATGCTAACCGTGTGATTCATGATGAATACCTGTTCTTGTACATCTGAGGCTCTGGGCCATGCTGTATCTGTTTGAACTCTGGGGAACCTCAGGTCTGAGAAGTTAAGGTCAGCTATTCCAGTACTCTGTGCCTATCCTACAGGCCCCCAATAAAAACTCTGGACACTAAGGCTCAGGTGAGCTTCCTTAGTTGGAAATACTTCATACACACGGTCACACATCACTTCTGTGTGATTTAGGTGCTGTCCACAACACCCCACTAGGAGAAAACAACTGAAACTTTTTCCCTGTTTTCTCCACACCCCCACCTAGATGCCTGTTTCCTTTGCTGATTTCAGTGTGTCTCCTGTCAATATAACAAACCAGAATAAACCACAGTATAACAGCTCTTTATTTCTGTGAGTTCTACGAGGAAATCATCAAATCTGAGGGTTGTCTGGGGGACCTCGACACACCTCTCCCCATGGTGAATCAGCTTCCAGGGAGTCCAGTCCCTCTCCTTACTTCATCCCCATCCCATGCCACAGGAAGACCCTCCCTCCTCGGTTCGCAGCCTTCTCTAGGCTTCCCAGTGCCTCCAAGACAGAGTGGATTATGTTTTCAGCTCCATCCTTGCTGTGAGTGTCTGGTGCGTTGCGCCTCCAGCATCTGCTCAGTGCTTCATGGACAGCATCCAGCACGTGTCACTGTCTACTCTCTCAGTGTGGACCCCACCCCTCCTTCATCTCTGTACCCCACAAACAACACAGACACCCCCATCCTATCTGGTTCCTCAAAGAAACTGAGTGAGATGTCTCCAGGCATGACCAGTGTCCCCCAGGACACGGAGAGGACAAAATTACACCCATTTAAGAAACACTCTGGTCTACACCTGTGTCTGCTGATTTCTTTTCCTAGCAACCCTGGACCCCACACCTGAGGACAAAGGTCAATAGAACTGGGGAGGCTTGAGCCTTGGCCCGGTCATTTCCAAGGTTCCAAGTGCCTGGTGTCTAGAATAGCCAAATGATGCCAGAACTTGAGGTGGATTTTTTTTTTTCGCTACAAGTAGGGAGTTGATGGGGTGCTCAGGGGTTTGCCATGATGGTGTCCTGGATCCACTTCCGGTAACGCACCACCTTGGTGTACAGGGAAGGCCTTCGGGGTAGGGCACATGGTTGACTGCCCCATGACGTGATACCTTGAAGCACACCGTCACAGACCAGTGGGCCCCCAGAATCACCCTGAGGGTAAAAGTGGGGAGAGAGTGAGATAGGTCAGCCCCAGTTTCTGCCTGGGCAATCCTGTCTTTCAGACCCGGACAGGCACATAACAGATAGCAGCTCCCAGCTTTGGGAAAAGAGAGAAAGGTCTCCAGAGCTGACTCCCAGGAGAAGGTGGGCAGGGATTCCAATAGGGGGGACAGGGGCTCCAATCCTGGCTGATGGGGAACTTCAGGGTCCAGCTCCTGTGCAGGGGGGAGGGTCCAGGAGGATAGTCCTTGCAGACAGGTCAGTGGGACGAAGGCCAAGGACCATCTGCAGGATGCTGCTGCCCCCATGGCTCATCACAGAGGCCACCTCTCCAGGACTACTCTCTGACTAGACACCTCCTCTCCAGGGCACTGGGGAGCCTTGGAGGGCCGTGAGCAGGGTTGGCATGGTCAGTTCAGTGATCAGAATGACCCACTGGGGCCAGGTGGAAAATGGAATGGAGGGGAAAGACTAAGGGCCAGGAGCCTGTGAGGGGGGCTGCGTGAGGGCCCAGGTGGGGACAAGGCGTGGAACCACCCTCAGGTCAGCCCCATCATCACTCCGCCCACAGCCCTGCCACCCTTCCTCCTTGCAGTCTGATCCCATAGGGAGGCCAGCAGCAGCCTCTGGACACCTGAGCCAGGCCCTCTCCCGCTTCTGTCCAGCACCATCCCTAGCTCCTGACTCCTCAGAGGAAAAGCATGTCCTTCTGCGGCCCAGGGGAGGCCCTGCAAGAGGGGTCCTTTCTTCCCTGTGCGAGGCCATCTCGCCCCTGTCCCTGATGCCTCACTCCAGCCACGCAGCCCCCTCGCTGCTCCTCACGCCCACCAAGGCCCTCCTCCCAGACCTGAGCAGGTGCTGCTCCCTCTGCTGCCCCAGGTGCTGCATGGCTCCCCCATCCCCTGCGGCAGGTGTTTGCTCACTCCCATCTTCTGCAGGACGTCCCCTCCCAGTCGTACTCCCTACCCCTTCTCCCTGCCCCAGAACCCTTTCACCTCCTGACATCCTCCAGCATTTCTGCATTGTGGTCCCTGTTCCTGCCTGTGCCCCTGACTGGCACAGGGGCTGCAGAAGGGAGGGGCTGCTCACTGCTGCTTCCCAGGCTCTAGGGCAGTGCTGGGCGCATAGCAGGTGCCTAGTAACCGTGTGCTGAATGCAGGGACACATGGACTGTGCCATAAGAATCACCTATTGCCTTGAGGGAGTCAAGGAAGGAGGAAGGAGGAAAGGAGATGAGGCACAGGGAGGGGGCGTGGCTACAGCTCGGGAACAGGGAAAGCTGATGCCCGGTTGGCTCCTGGACCCCAGCTCAGAATTAAGGTCCCCACTCACATTTCCCCTCAAGATCTTGGGAGTAGGGATGACTCACCGAGCAGGTGCTTTTGCCGCCCATCCAGCTTCCAGCACACAGCATGAACTTGGTCACCTTCTGAAAGTGAACTTGCGCACACACATCATTGGAAATAATATGGAGGTCCACACACTGAAGTTTCTTTGGAGTCAAGTCTACGGGCCAGGAAAAAACACTGTTGTGGGCCGTACCCCACCTGGTTCCTTGGCCCCTCCTCCCTCAGACTCAGAAGTCCTGTCCCCTCCTCCCTCAGACCCAGGTATCTGGGCTCCCAGCTGCACCATCTGGCCCTGGCATACTTTCCTCCGGTTCGATGCTGCCCCAGCCTGAGGCGTAGCACGTGGTCCCCAGCGCTGGCTCCCAGGTGGGCAGGTCCACGACCTGCACAGCATCTGTGATCTCGGCAGGCTCTGACAGGCGGAGCAGCATGAGGTCGTGGCTGGAGTCATCACCTGGCCCGAGGTATCGATTCTTCAGGAGGCTCATGTTGTAGAGCGGGTGTGGGAAGCTGTGGCTGACCTGAAACACCTGGCCCGTGTCTTCAGGATAAAACGGGTTGTGCCGACCCAGCAAGATCACGCTGTTGCTGGAGAGGAAGCAAATGCAGGAATGAGGAGCGAGGATGATGGGGCAAGAGAGACGGGACAGAGGAGCAGGGGGGAGGCTCCAAAAGAGAGAAAGAAACTGCGAGAAAAACACGGGGTTGGGGAAGACACAGTGAGGGCCAAAAATACAGACAATGAGTTGGGAAACAGCAGTATGACAGGGTGAAAGGTAGATACAGAAACAGGGAAACCAAGGGAAAGAGACAGAGGGTAAAAGGACAGAGAGAATGAAAGGGCAGAGGGGAGAACAGTGAGAAACTAGGTGAGCCAAAAGCATACAGGATGAGAAAGAAAAGAGAGAAACATAGAGAAACAGACATGGGCCAGAGAAAGAGCGAGAACAAAACCAGGCAGAAAGTGAGAAACAGACAAATGAGAAAGAGAACCAGGAAGTCAAGGAAGAACGAGAAATAAGTAGAGAGGAAGCCAGGGGTGATAGAGTGTGGGAGAGAAAAGGAGAGAGACTGGAGCTGAGTGGGCACCGCCGGGGAGGGGAGGCCTCAGAGTGGCTCTGCTGCTTTGGCGTCGGTTTCCAAGTGGGTAGGTAGCCTCGCCTGCAGGCCCGATGCAGTATTCCCCGCCGCTTCCCTCCCCAGGGTCCTTTCCCCCAAACCCTGTTGTCCTTCCCCCTTCTCCTTCCTCCTCCCTCAATTGCCCATCCAAGCTCCAGCTGGAACTAGCCCTTCTCTGTGTCTTCCAAGAGTGGAGGGATGTCCTGGAGAAGGAATGGAGTGAGAGGGGCCTCCTCATACCCACACACACACAAGCAATGAAACCCTTCCTTTTCTTTTCTTTCTTTTTTTCTTTTCTTTTGAGATGGAGTCTCACTCTGTCACCCAGGCTGGAGTGCAGTGACGCGGTCTCAGCTCACTGCAACCTCCACCACCCAGGTTCAAGCAATTCTCCTCCCTCAGCCTCCTGAGTAGCTGGGACTACAGGCTCGCGCCACCACGCCTGGCTACTTTTTTGTATTTTTAGTAGAGATGGGGTTTCACTATGTTGGCCAGGCTGGTCTTGAACTCCTGGCCTCAGGTGATCTACCCGCCTCGACCTTCCAAAGTGCTGGGATTACAGGTGTGAACCACCGCACCCAGCCAAAGCCCTTCCTTTTCTCAGGGTCCCCCCACGCCCATCCTGTGTGTGTGTTCACTAGGAAGAAGGCATAGGAGAGACAGAGACGCAGAGAGAGCCTGGCAGATAGATAGAGGGTGAGACACACTGGCTGGAGAGGGACCAGAGATGGACAGAGAGAGGGGGAGATATGGAGACCGAAGACAGAGAAGAGAGGGAGAGAGAGAACAAAATAGTCACACGGAGAGACACAACCCAAGCCAGATACCAAGGGACACAATGAAAGTGACACAGAGAGACATAGAGGGACACAGACATGGGGAGGGTGGTTCAGCCCCAGTCCTGCCTCCCCATGTGACCTGAACCAGAACCTTCCCTCTCTCCCCCAGTCCCAAGGCTGGCCTTAGAGGTTATCCTGGGGGAAATGCACAGCTGTTATTCCTCTGGGACACAGACACCCCCTCCCCAGACCCCAGGCCTCTACTCACCTCCTGATGCAGTGGGCAGCTGTGAGGACCCACTGGGGGTGCACCAGAACACCCCCGCAGACTGCCCTGCCACGAGAGGCCACAAGCACCTGCCAGGGTTGGGAATGCTTCTCACACTCCCAGCCTCCCACAATCCGAGACAGGATGAGGGGTGCAGCGCCTGCAGAGGGGGAGCTAGATCAGGGGGATCAGGGTTCACAGGAGGAACTGGGGGACTCGGATAGGAGAGGGATCTAGGATGTGGGTTTGAAAAGACATGGGGGCAGAGAACCAGGGCTGGGAGTCCTGGGACATGGGCAGGGGGAGCTGGGAAAGGCTGGGAATTCTGTCACTCTTCCCTGGGTTTGCAGGTTAGTGGCTGGGGCTGGTGGGGAGGCTTCATGCTCTGAGAGCAGAGGTGACCCCAGGGATCAGGGTAGGAGACACAGGACAGCGTCCAGACAATATCTTGAGTCTGGGGATCGGGTCCTTGGTGGTGATTTGGGGTCTTGGACTGGGAGAAGGGAAACTTGGTACAAGTTGTGGATTCTGAGGGGATAAGGGGTGCTAGGAACCGAGGATAAGTGCCTTATGGCAAGGTTCAGTTGCTGGAAGAGGAAGGTTTTGGAAAGTTTAGGAAGTCCCAGGTTGAGAAAACAGTTCTGGCCTGAGTGGTTTTTTTGGGTTTTTTTGGGGTTTTTTTCCGTTTCTGTTTTTGTTTTTAGGTTTTGAAAAGGATGCAGATTTAGGGAATCAGAGAGCCGGCCGTTGTGGCTGGGGATGCTCGTGTTTTTCCTATGGAAAAGGTGGGCCACTGAATGAAGAGTCTGGAGCTAAGTCAGGGAATGAGGACTTCTCAGAGTCCCATTGCCGGACTGAGGGACCCGTTTGTTGTCTCCGGCCAGGTAGCCTGGCTACGAAGAAGGACGTGGCTGGTTGGCATCTGGGTGTCCTAGGGCAAGATCGGGAGGCCAAGCATCAAAGTCTTTGGGATGGGGTTGAACACTCACAGCCGAATGGGAAAAGTCAGTAGACTGTGATGGGACTGAGGGGCTCAGGAGGCAGACCAGTGATAGGCTCCAAGGAACCAATGGCATCGAGAGAGGTCCTTGGAGGTTTTGAGCCCCACAAAGAGAAACACGGAGATGTCCAGGAACTTCCCCTTTAGTAAAGCAGCTGGGAGCAGGGAGTTGGCTGGGCAATGGGGAGAAAGTTCTGGGGTAAGTGGGAGGGAGCGGGGACCTGGTGTGGGAGTGAGGACAGTTCAATATGGAGGGGCTGGGGGTATAGGTTTGGAGCGGGACTGGGAGAGACAGAAAAGAGCCCAGCACCCTGTCTGGGCTGGGGTGCTGGGTGGGAGGGAAAGAGCCTCAGCTTGAGAGTCAGGGCTGACTCCCCTTCCTGCATCCCCCCAACCCTGGCCCCTCTCACCAATCCACGTCACGGACAGGGTGAGGAAGACAACCAGGACCCACATGGTGACACAGCTCTCCAGGTGCAGGCGGTGAGCTTGGGGCTGCGGAGCCTCCCCGAGGAGCCTTATAAAACCTTCATTCCCCAGGACTCCGCCCCTGCCCTCCCGGCACCCAGATGCTGACCAAGGCCCTCCCCATGCTGCTGGAAGCTGGACAACCCCCTCCCACACCCAGAGCTGTGGAAGGGGAGGGAGAACCAGCACTTGCTGTTCTGCAATTACTAGATCACCCTGGATGCACCAGGCCCTGTAGCTCATGGAGACTTGATCTAGGACACAAAGGCAGAGGAGACAGGCCCGGGATGAAGCAGAAACAGGGGATGGGTACAATCCCCGATTCTTCATACAAAGCCTCACATGCCTAGATCCTTTGCACTCCAAGACCCAATGTGCCCTAAAATACCAGCACCCAGGGGACTGTGAGACTCTCTGATCCCTGTACCACTCTGAGCCCAGAAACTAGAACTTTTATTTCTCGTGCTCCTGAAATAGATGTCTTGGCATTCAGTACTCTCTTTTCCTTGCACTTCCAACCCAGAATCCAGTTCCACACATACATTGCTACTGTTATCATAAAAAGATCTTGTGGTCCACGGATACTCTAACCCAGAAATACGAGTCTCCCAAAGTTCCCTAGCATTTCAAAATCCAATGTCCGTCAAACAATGTGAAATTCCAGTAACCCCCTACTCCTTGTTCTCCAGACCTGTGCACTCTATCTGTGCAACAGAGATGCCTGCTGACCGGCTCTCCCAGGTCAGAATCACCCTCATGTAAAATCCAATGCCCCTTCTCCAATAAGATACTTAGCCTTCAGGAGCCAGTTTATGTACCTCAAGATTAAGTGACAGGTCAGGCATAGTGGCTCACACCTGTAATCCCAACACATTCCGAGGCCAAGGTAGAAGGATCGCTTGAAGCCAGGGGTTGAAGGCCAACCAGAGGAACAAGGCAAGATCCATTTCTACCAAAAAAAAAAATTTTTTTTTTCTTTTTGAGACAGAGTCTCACTCTGTTGCCCAGGCTGGAGTGCAGTGGCACGATCTTGGCTCACTGCAACCTCTGCCTCCCAGGTTCAAGTGATTCTCCTGCCTCAGCCTCCTGAGTAGCTGGGATTACAGGTGTGTGCCAACACGCCTGGTTAACGTTTGTATTTTTTTTTTCAGTAGAGACAGAGTTTCACCATGTTGGTCAGGCTGGTCTCGAACCCCTGACCTCGTGATCCACCCACCTCGGCCTCCCATAGTGTTGAGACTACAGGCATGAGCCACCGCGCCTGGCCCAAAAAAACTTTTAAAATTACCTAGATATGGTGATGGACCACTGTAGTCTTAGCCATTGGGAGACTGAAGTAGGAGAATCTCTTAAGGCCAGGAGTTCAAGGCTACAGTGAGCTGTGATCACGCCATTGAAATAGAGGGAGAATGAAACATTGATTAAAAAAAAAATTGGCCGGGCGCGGTGGCTCAAGCCTGTAATCCCAGCACTTTGGGAGGCCGAGACGGGCCGATCACGAGGTCAGGAGATCGAGACCATCCTGGCTGACACGGTGAAACCCCGTCTCTACTAAAAAATACAAAAAAACTAGCCGGGCGAGGTGGCGGGCGCCTGTAATCCCAGCTACTCGGGAGGCTGACGCAGGAGAATCACATGAACCCAGGAGGCGGAGCTTGCAGTGAGCCAAGATCACGCCACTGCACTCCAGCCTGGGCGGCAGAGCGAGACTCTGTCTCAAAAAAAAAAAAAAAAAAAAAAAAATTAAGGTGGCATGCAAAATCACAATTTATAGTCTCAGAAGAGAATCGGGAACTCTTAAGAGCCCTGGTACCTCCGCTGCTAACTCCATAAGATTTCATTAATTTCCAAAAAGTTAGTTATTTCAGCTGTTCAGTAAAACCAGAGTAGCTCACCTGATCCAGCCCAAACTGTGACTCAAGAATTTGACAAAAGTGGCTGGGCGCGGTGGCTCACGCCTGTAATCCCAACACTTTGGGAGGCTGAGGCGGTGGATCACGAGGTCAGGAGTTCGAGACCAGCCTGGCAAACATTGGTGAAACCCCGTCTCTACTAAAAATACAAAAATTAGCCAGGTGCGGTGGTGCACACCTGTAATCTCAGCTACTCGGGAGGCTGACGCAGGAGAATCACTTGAACCCAGGAGGCAGAGGTTGCAGTGAGCCTCTTCCAGGTTGCAGTGAGTTTGCAGTGAGTCGAGATCGGCCACCATTGCACTCCAGCCTGGGCAATCAATAGAGTGACTCTGTCTCAAAAAAAAAAGAAGAAGAATTTGACAAAATCTTCCCCTGTTTCTAGCTGAGTGATCAGATAAATTCAAATACAGTGAGGGAGACAGAAGTGGATATAGATAATCACAACTTAAGACCATCTTACAGCTGGAGTGGAAGGATATACTCAGCCAGTGACCTGACCTCCTCACACGTGAGTTAAGGTTTCCCTGAATTCATCCTGGAAATGAAGTTTGTCTCCACTCCAGTGAGAACCTCATGGATCGAGTGTCCCTAAGCATATCCTCAACTCATCCTCAATCAAAACCTGACCCAACCCAATTTAATACAAACCAATCCAACTGCATCATACACAGCCCCGACCTCATCAACCCAACACAACTTAACCTAACAAGCCAACCCTTATGTCTTCCCTCGTTGTTTGATTCCGCATCAAACAAAACTCATGGCCACTGTCAAATCTGATAGCTACTTCCATGTCTTCTACCTCCAAAATCAAACCCAACCTCATCCCCAATTCAATCCCCACGGATTTCTGAGCCAACGTCAAAACAAATCTATTTCCATCCCAAAGCCATGCCATCCTAAATCACCTCAACAGTGCCAATCCCAAACTCATCCCAAGCACAATTTTACCCCATCTCCAACCCAATTCCAATCTGACCCTCCATTCTAACTGGTCTTCATGCTCCACTCCTATACCCAGCACATCTAACCAAAGAAAACCAAATACAACCACATGCCAGTTCTCAAGCCTGTCCAGAGCCTCCTCTCCACCCGTGATGATGCTCCCTTGGCTGTGACCTCGCAGGAGTCCGTGCCTTCACCCCCTACTCCTGCACACACCATGGCGTTCATCAGGGTCCTTGGTAGTCCCTTTTACACAATGTGGTGGACATAAGGTTGATGCTGGCACAGTGCCTCATATTTGGGAGACTTACTTGGGAGAGCAGTGGACTTGGGGAAGACGCATAAGTTCAGGTCCCTGTGCCCTCCACCCAGAAGCCTTTGGGATTTCATGGATGGTGACATACAGCCATTCTCTAGCACTTTTGAGTCCTGGATCAAGTCCTAGATCCTTATGGTTCCAGGCTCCCTGTCTGACACCAGGCCCTAGCCTGGCACCATGCAGGCCACTCCCACCAGAGGAGGATGTCGGCAGCTGTACAGTTGGCAGGTGGCTGGAGAGGCGAGCTGCAGGGATAGTTGCAGTAACATGACGTCATGGTGCTGGCCACACTCTCATAGTGTGGATGCTGGATGATGAGTGGATGACACCCGAGGACTCTGGGACATGGCTCATATGCAGATTGTGCTCGCCCCAGGGCACCTTCATGAAGCTAGAAGGGCTGGTGATACCCTCAAGTGGAGTAAGGATTAGGTGGCAAGATGGAAGAATGGGTAACCCTCAATCCTCGGACTCTTGGGGAATCAAGAGATCCCATTACTGTCACCCCAAACCCTGAACCCAGTGGTTCCAGCCTCTGCCCTTCGGGGCCAAGGAGGGACTCAAGCCACAAATATACCCCAGAACTCTACCCCTCAGGATTCCAGCACCTTCTTCCTGAGGATATGAGATTCTTAGGCCATTCCCACATCAGGACCTCGGGAGCTGGGATCTTAGCAGTCTCCTCCCTCATTGACCTAAGAGTTCAGAACTGACACTATCCCTGCCCCAGGACCTTCACCTCCAGCCTCTTCCTCCTTTGAAATTCAAGAGGCTGGACCCACTCCTCACTCAAACCCAGAAGTTCTGATCCCCAGCCATGCCCCTTCAGGATCCTGTGCACTGCCTTTTTCTGGATTTGGCAGTGAAGTGCTGCCAGACACAGTCAGGATCGGGACTCAGAACCTTGGTTTGCCATAAAGAAGCGGGATGTGATAGAAAGAGTATTTAATGGTGGAACGTTGAGATTGCCCTGCAGACAAGGGTGGAAGACTCTGGCTGAACAGTGTTGGGAGGCAATTCTCCATGGTTCTGTCACGTATCTGTGTGTCTTCTGAGAAAAGACAGCAACACCTTTTTCTTTCTGGATTGTCTTTTCAAGAATGTTTGTGTAGCAGGCATCCTTGCAAGATGATCTCTCTCTCAGATCCAGGATTGCGCACTGTCCTAGATAATGAAGATAATGTCTCTTACAACAGATTTGTTTACTGTCAAGAGCAATAAATACAATATGTTCCTCCAGAGTAGGTCTGTTTTCAATCCAAGATCATAAAGATAGTATCTTCATCAGGGACAACGGCTGAGCAGGTTTGCAAGTTGTCCCAGTAAAAGATTGAGGATTCCTCATCTCAGGTTTCTCACCGGTGGCACAAACCCTGTGTGCACAGCATCCACCTGGACTGCTCTGGTCACCCTACAAGGTTTTGGGGGGCAAGGTGAACTAATGTGAACATGAACCTCATGCTGTCTGCTGAGCTGTGAGCAGTAAAATCCTTTGTCTCTGACTCGGGAGTCTCATGGACTCTGCCGGCATTCACAGAACTCTGGCAGGTTAGCTTCTTTGTTTGCAGGTCGGTAAAATGCCAACCCCTTCAGAGTTACTGACACTGAGACTGCACTGGCCAGCTGGGAATGGAGATAGGAGGGGACCCAGCTGGATGCAGTGGGCAGTGGGGGTCAAAGGGTACAGAATACAGTGGGATCCTAGTATCATGGTGGAGGTCAGAAAGAGCCCTAAAAGAGAGGGTCAAGGTAGGAGGTTAGTGAAGGTCCACCTCCACCCTCTCCAGGACAGGGACATCAGGTCACAGTTAATTTCCCTGCAGTTGGTGAGTGGTCATGGTCTCTGGAGTCTCCAGCATCCAGAGTGTCCCCGGTCTAGTGGTCCCCCCTTTCTGAGCCACAGCTGCTTTCTCTGTCAAATGAGGCCAGTAATACCCACCCCAGAGTGATGCTGTGAGGATTAGATGAGCATCTGTAAGTGCTGAAGATAATGCCTGACACATCCCAACCATTCAGCAGTGCAAGCATACACTTACACGGCACTCCTTAGAGCCAGGCATGTGCTGGTGCCTCATGCACGTGACCACATTTGATCCTCACAATGACCCTGTGAGGGAGACTGTGCAACAGAGGACTGACCTCGCCCAAAGACCTCAGGCCTTTGCCGTCAGAGCCTGAGACGTCATCTCTTATTTTTTTTTCTCCTTTCTTTCTTTTTCTTTTCCACGGAGGTTGCAGTGAGCCGAAATTGTGCCACTGCACTGCTGCCTGGTGACAGAGCAAGATTCCGTCTCAACAACAACAAAAAAGAATTATTGGACCAGGCACACTGGCTCATGCCTGCAATCCCAGCACTTTGGGAGGCCAAAGCAGGTGGATCACCTGAGGTCAGGAGCTTGAGACCAGCCTGGCCAACATGGTGAAACTCCATCTCTACTAAAAATACAAAAATTAGTTGGGCATGGTGGCAGGAACCTATAATCTCAGCTACTCAGGAGGCTGAGGAAGGAGAATCACCTTAACCCAGAAGGCAAAGGTTGCAGTGAGCCAACATTGTACCACTGTACTCTAGCCTGGGTAGCAAGAACAAAACTCCATTGGGAAAAAAAAAAAAATTACTGAGGGCCTTCCTTGGATTTTTGTTTATATTAACTGCCAAGACCAGCTCAGTCGGGGAGACCCTAACCCAGCAGTGCTACAGGAATTAAAGACACACACACAGAAATATAGAGGTGTGAAGTGGGAAATCAGGGGTCTCACAGCCTTCAGAGCTGAGAGCCCCAAACAGAGATTTACCCACATATTTATTAACAGCAAACTAGCCATTAGCATTGTTTCTATAGATATTGAATTAACTAAAAGTATTCCTTATGGGAAACAAAGAGATAGGTTGAATTAAAGGAATAGGTTGGGCTAGTTAACTGCAGCAGGACCATGTCCTTAAGGCACAGATCGCTCATGCTATTGTTTGTGGCTTAGGAATGCCTTTAAGTGGTGTTCTGCCCTGGGCAGGCCAGGTGTTCCTTGCCCTCATTCCCGTAAACCCACAACCTTCCAGCTTGGGCCTTAGGGCCATTATGAACATGTTACAGTGCTGCATAGATTTTGTTTATGGCCAGTTTATGGCCAGATTTTGGGGAGCCTGCTCCCAACAATTCACTATATCTATTGATACATTCCACAGTAGATATTAAAACTGAGAAATCTTTCAAATATTTTGTTATTTATTTTTAAATAACAATAATAAATATATGTTAACATATTTTAATGAAAAACAGCTAATATTTTAAGACAAAAAACTAGTGAGGAAAAAACGTTATACGCTTTTGCAAGTCTCTAATGTCTGGCTTAATAGAAGACAGCTGGACTCTCATAACTGCTTTAGGGTTTAATTTGCTACAATATCACATCATGTAGGCTCTGGAAAATTCCACCTTGTGCTTGTGAGAGAACAAGAGTGAGGAAGGTGCCGGGCACAGTGGCTCACGCCTGTAATTCCAGTACTTTGTGGGGCCGAGGTGGGCAGAACACCTGAGGTCAGGAGTTCGAGATCAGCCTGGCCAACATGGTAAAACCATGTCTCTACTAAAAATATAAAAATTACCTGGACATGGTGGCGGGCACCTGTAATCTCAGCTACTTGGGAGACTGAGGCAGAAGAATCACCTGAACCTAGGAGACAGAGGTTGCAGTGAGCTGAGATCATGCCATTGCACTCCAGCCTGGACAACAAGAGTGAAACTCCATCTCAAAAAAAAAAAGAAAATAATGTGTACAGATTATTATGAAACTAGTGTTTGACCTTGCATACCCCTGGAAAGGTCTCAGGAATCCTTCCACTCCAGAGTTCCAGAATCCCCACAATGACAGCCTGAGATGGTCAGAGAGGCCCTCCCCCAGGGACAGAGAGGAACACAGAAGGAAATACAGGGATGAATATGGTGCTTTTCTTCAAGATTACCATCACGTTTTCTCTTTATCGAGTACTACTTCATGCCATACTTCATGTTGATCAGGTTTTCTAAGGTCTTCAGCTTCTTGAAAAAAAAACAAAATAAAAGATTCTTAATATAAACTTAGGTAGAACCCTGATTATTCTAATGAGAAAAGAAATAACAAATGTAAACAGCATATCGAAATGATAAAAGGAATAATACAGGAACTATTTAAAAGAGTACACAATACCAAAATCAATGCAAAATTTAGAAGATACATAATTTTTTTAACTTAGCAATTGTCTTAAATGCCTTATAAAGCTTTTCCTAGATTCTTTTGTCCTCATACTCTTCAATTATCTCTGCTTATGATCAAATGATTTTGTAATCTCATTTTCTTTTTTTTTTTTTTTGAGACGGAGTCTCGCTCTGTCGCCCAGACTGGAGTGCAGTGGCGCAATCTCGGCTCACTGCAAGCTCCGCCTCCCGGGTTCACGCCATTCTCCTGCCTCA